TATGATACTTCTTGCTGACTGGGAAAATCACTGAACATTTCCAAATGTTGAGCATGAAAATGCTAGTTTTGTGTCATTCTTAGGCTTTAGAAATGAAAAAGGGTGCTCTGAGCACTCCCTTAAGCTGCTGCTGTTAAGAAATGAGATCTGAAATAGTTTCTAAATGTAGAGTACAATACAGAGTAGTCATAGCAGGACTTTGCTGTTTATAGCATGGGGTTACTTGCATTTGCTACTGAGAGATGTGCCATGGTTGAAGTGGGTGGAAGTCATGGAGCAAGGTGATGATAATGTATTGCACATACTGCCGAGTCTGGTGGATGCAGGTTTTCTTTCTGGGGTGAAAGAGTCCCAGCAGAAATAGTCAGTTCCCCTTGTCTTGTATTGTGCTGTTTCTATTAATAGACAGGTTTGTGCTCATTTTGTCTTAGGGCTGTGCTGTTCAATTCCAAACAGTTCACAGATTTAATGTTGACATTTTTCCTCAGGGCTTTGGAGGTGTTGGAGAAAAAGGAGAAAAAGGTGTGCCTGGCTTACCGGGTGGCAGGGTAGGTAACTTTACAAAGTCCTTAAATGCCTGTTGACAAACGCACAAAGCGGGCCTTTCGTCATCAGAAGCATTCCCAAAGCATGTAGGAGTCTCAGACGTAGGACTGGGTCCCATAGTATCCAGCACCATGCAACAACAGAACCAATAGTTCTTACCTCACTAAAGTCTCAGATTAAAGGTGATATGAAAGATGTATATGGACATGACAGTCCAATAACATCACACAGAAGTATTTAGTAGAGGTCTTGGTCCTGCGGGGCTTGTGTTTTTCCAGCTTTTTTGAAAACGTCCCAGAAAAGGAAGCTTGCAAAAGGTCCAAATGAAGATAATGAAGAGGCCTTGCAGAGGCTTTAGGGAGCTCTTAACCAGTACCAAAACCAGCCATGAGAGAACACAGATAGATATTTAGGGAAGAAATAGGCAAGCTGGCAATGGATGTTGGTCTAACTAGGCAATGCATGTGGGAGTTAACAGCATTGCTTGATCACACGCCAGCCATAGATTTTTCACAGTACCATGACCTTGCGGAGACGTGCATATACATAACAGCAAGACTAAGGCATTCCGTTCTGCACATGCAGAATAAATTGTCAGTACAGAAAGTCTTGATTGCAGTAAGTTTCATGAATTTATAATTACAAACTACCTACCTAACTTCCTAATAAGTTGAGACATCATGACTTGAACCAGCGATTGGAAAGACAATAGCTAAAGATGATAAGATTTCTTTTATCAGTTATTCTGCTGAATTCTTTCAATTATGATTGTTAATATTTGGGAGATATGTAAAATCAGTGGTATCTTCTCCTTTTGAAAGTTTTACCTTTTCATTCTGTGGTGTGGAGATATTTGGAGCCTGATAGAATCAGACCAGACTGAAGTGGAGCCTCTGAAAGTTAATGGTTTTTCTGCTATTCTAGGGTCTTTTGGGACTGGATGGATCTGATGGGATACCAGGGAGAAAGGTGAAATTTCTTCTATTTTTTTACTGTACTTAAAATTACAGAAGCCACCTAGCTATTTAAGATCTACTGACTTCCTTATCTAGTGGCTCCAAGTTCTCTGATGGATGAATGCACCTGCCTTATTGAACTGCTGAGAGCTAACTAGAAAGGCTGCGTGAAACTTTAGATCCCTTTAATTGTCTCTCTAGTTATCCCTATATATTCAGAGGACCGCCTCCAAAGACTGGAAATTGTACGTTCCCTCCTGGAACGATCAACTCTCCCACTTTTTATGTTGGAGGTGGAAACATCCAGGTGCCTGAAAACGTGTTAAAGCGCTTCCAGTTGCAGATACAGCAGTGGACGTTGTTCAAGAAAGCAATTCTCAGAAATGGAATTTTTGTTTTGTAGTCTGGAATTCAGTCACTTTCTTGTATATTTTGGTTTATGTATGTCCTTTCCAAGATACAGTGAAGGTGATGGTATCTCCAATGTAATCTAATTTGTATCTATACATTAAAATTGTGTGATTAGAAACAAGCCCTTTATGACAAGTTTCTCAACAGTACTGTGTATGGGCTATAGGGGGGCCTACAGCTGTTCGATACTTCAGAATCACAGGCAAGGTTTAAAGTTAAGGTTCCCTGCTCCAGAGCTCTTGGAATATCCCGTTTTGTCTGCAGTGACGGTGGGATTTGCAATGCATGCTGGGCCAAGTTGACTATGTTACCCTGTAGAGAGCAGTAAATCACTTCTGGGTAAATTTCCAGTCACACAACCAGAAGGGGAATGTTGGTGTCCCTGAGAATGCTACCAGGAAATGGGTAGCTGGAGAGCTGGATCTCCCAGTGTCACTTTAAATGTTTTGGTGCCAATAGTTTGTTGGAGGGGGAACAGAGTGGAAGGGAAAATGTCGGGACAAGGAAAATAGTGTTCCAAACTCCTCCCTCCACAAGCACTTGTATGGTCCTGTGAGAACTCCAAGGTGTCCTCCTGATTTGGACACCCTCATGCCTGCTTACAAGTTCTGACCAACTTTACAGCCCAAGGAGGCCTAAAGGAGCTCTGGTATTTTGTGGGTGCTGAGAAACTGATGCCATCACTTTATACGTTCTTTATTTCTTCTGCAGATGTTTGGTAGGACAATGAATTGGGGTTGTGATTCAAGTCCAGGCACTGCAGGTGTCTCTGCTAACAAAAAATGCCACTGTTACTGTCTCACTGTAACAGTGTTCCCCTCTGTGACTTTGCAGGGTCATCCAGGTGTTCCAGGCTATCCAGGACTGGATGGAATCGAAGGCGTGAAGGTAACTTCTCACGTGAAAGTACTAAAGCATTGCTTTTTAAAAGATATTTGCATGAATAAATAAGTATCAATTGCCCAATCAAATCTCTTCTTTACCTCTGTACCACTGTAATTTTCAGTAGTTTCAGTTCCTCGTTTACTTTATTGTTAAGGATAAAAATTGGTTGCTGAACTATGAACACTGATATTTTAGCACCTTTACAATGTTCATTCGTGTAACTTCATGACTTACAATTGTAGGTGTAGTCTCTCTGCTTTCCTTTATCCTTACACCAAGGCCATATTTACTGGACAATTGAGGCAAGATTACATGGAAGTAAGTAGATGCTAAGAGTGGTTGCCAAGGCTGTCTGAAGCCTTGAATCGCAGATCTACAAGTATTGACAAGCCTGAAAATAGTGTTCTCAATTTCTTCTGCTGGAGATAGGCAACCCATAGCAGACATTTTCTGGGTGTCTCACAACTTGGGCAGTCAGACGCCTGGAAACTGGGTGGAAAATGATTGGATAGTAGCTTGCTTCTCTGCCGCTAAGATTGGTATATGGTTGGCAGACATGTGAAATGCAAGCACTGAAGGGCTTTTTGGTGCAGAGCACATGGAGGAAGTAGTAGTACAGGTTTATGCACAGAGGGGTATTGCTGCAAGAAGCAAGAAAGTGTGCACTGCCTTGGCTCACTGCATGGTGTTTATATTATAGATATGATGGCAATTTGGACAACAGTCAGATTTTGCACTTGCTATTTCAAAGAGGATTTGATGCTGTGTTAGGGTGAGAAGAAGGAATGATATTGCCGTTTGTCACAACTTGCTCATTCTACCTGGGCGATTTTATGGAGGAATCCATTTTCCTGGAACCTCTTATTATTGAAATTCAGGATTCCAAGGCAACAGGTAGCTGCAGTGGTGAATGCTTTTAGAAATGGATATGTTCATAGCAGCTCTCTCACTTTACTACAAGGTAAACAGCTATGATCTACCTGATGTTGGTCAATATGCCGATATGATAACTGGTCTCTAGCACACATGGTGTATTACATGTCCATGCTTCCTATTGAGGTAACGGGATGCCTTCAGAGGATAGCTGGGTAGTAGCAAACACTTTATCTGAAGCAGCCATCACTTTCATCAGACAGAAAGTAGGTAAGTCAGGACAGTAGATGATTGTGAATAGCAGAACAACAAAGTGAATTCTTCACCAAGACTAATGATGTTTAGTCAGTGAATGACCACAGACCTTGCTAATACAGTCTGCTTCCTGACAAACAGCCTTCCATCACCCGTCTGACTGTGGTATGAATCTGTTTTCTTCTACAGGGTGAATTAGGTGACATCGGTCCCCCAGGCCCTCCTATCGTTATTGACAAGGAAGGTGTAGTTATTTCAGGTACACACTTCCGTTTTATTTTGGAACTCTTCTAAAGCACTTTTTCTGATCCAACTTTCCTTCTTACTATATTTAACCACTTTTCCACATTGTGAATTTGATCTTACCCATCCCTTGTTATTTTTCCTTTAATTTCTGTATTGTTGGCATATGGATACTTTTAGTCCCATGTTTATAACTTCAGAGTTTACAGTAAAACTTTCATCCCCACATTGCAGAATGACATGTTTCAAGGCAGAATGAAACTTAGTGCCTGGGAGGCTGACTGTGTGGGAGCACGGGGAAGTGCTGTGTGTCTACTTGTATGTCTTTCTTCAGCGTACTAAGGAAAAATGGCTTCCATGTGTTGCTTGGAAATGGGTACTCTGAATGTCATTCTGATATTATTTGTCATTCAATGTGATAAGAATATTGTTGAGAAAATGAGCTTAATTAATGCCACAGCTGAACGAGGCCTGGATGGGAACAGTCTCTGAAGCTATAAAGGTAAGGGGACAAATTGTATAATCTCTCCTATTCTTCCTCCTTTACATGCAGCCGAGTTTGAAACATCCTCTAACAGGTCAGGAGGAATTTTTTCCATTTTTGTTAACTTTGACTAAGAAGCTTACTGCTAACGGCTTTTCAGTCTTCGCTGTCAGTGAGATCAGGGGCCACCGGGGTAGTTGACTGAACAGAGTCTTTCAGCAGAAATTCTCATGATATTTTCCTCCTTGTTTTTTCCATATTTGTCTAATAGGTGCCCCGGGTGACCCTGGAAACCCAGGAATACCTGGTCCTCCAGGAGATGAAGGGATCAGTGGTTTGCCAGGCCTTCCAGGAGCTCCAGGGTTTCCAGGCCTGGATAGAGGTAAAGCAGCTGCTAATAGTGCCCTTAGCAGGCTGTTTTCTGTGTTTCTGGCTGAGAAGACTCTGGGTAGTGGCCTGGAGATGGTGAAGGTATTGGAGCAAGCCTCTCCCTGCTCCTTCAGCAGGCTGATTTGCAGGCTGCTGTAAATGACATAGGAGGCAGGGGTGACTCACAGGGAAACAGAGTATATTGATTTGGATGCGAGCAGAATTAGTCCCACAATGATTACAGCCCAGGCAAGGCTTCAGGTGTGAATATTTGGTGCAGCAGTGTATGCAGAAGGTTGGTTGTTTGCTTTCCATTTTGAATAAGCTGATTGGCAGAACCTTTTCCATATGTTAAATAATAGCAAATGGTTTTGAAACTTTTTTTTTTTAATGACTTTTCATATTTGCAATGGAGAGCTAATGGATTGGCTAGATAAACCCATTTGTCCCATCAAAGATTTCACTTGAAGATTTCTGTTTCACTTGAATGTCATCTTGAAGTACTGTCCTGCAATGATCCAGAGACTAGGAACTACTAAGGAAACGGTCTCACTCGAAGGAAATCAGAAAATAAATAAACTGCAGTCTTATGTAGTTAATTGTCTAACTGATCTGTGGGACTTAAGTGCAGCCCTGTGAAGTTTTTTGGATGACCAAAGGGGTGTGTGAATGGGAGCCAGTTGGTGCCTCCGATTAGGAAGTTTTTCCTTTGTGTGCGATTATAAATTGTTCTGTGCTAACATGGTTGCAGTTCAGGGCAAAACAGTCATTTTCATAACATTAAAAATACTAGAATGTGTTTGCTGCTGGAGAGCTGATGGTTGTGTCATTGTTGTCTAGATGGAATGGGCCCTGGGGGGTCTGCAGGTATTCCAGGTGTGAAGGGTGAAGTGGGAGAACCAGGAAGAGCAACGATTGGACTACCAGGCACTCCCGGCAGAGACGGTTTACCGGGTCTGCCCGGAGCACCAGGATTGCCTGGTCCACTACGTATGTATATTTTTAACATCTGTTTTTCTGTTGGATTCAGAGTGAAACAAGACAAATAATCATTTATGTATTTATTTTTTTGCCAGTGAGGATTATTCATCTGTAAACCTTAAATGTTTGGTTGACAGCTCATTGTGATTGTAACTCACAACCTTAAGTGTATGTATCAGCAGCCACCCCTCTGAAGTAAGAAAGTACAGCTAATTATTGTTTGAGTGGTAGCCTGAGATACTGAAGCATAAGGTTGTGTGGACACAATTTCTGACACGGAGGACTTCGAAGTTCTAGGCTAGTCTCCTACTGGCTTGAATAGCGAATAGATCGTGACCTTGTGAGCACCTGGGGTACATGTCTAGTGAGTAGGTACTTTGGGTACCAGGAGTCAGATAGGATGCCTGAAGAGCTAGTTTATAGACCTAAGGAAGCGTGATTTTATTTTTACATATTCATTTGTATGGATGCCCTGATTGGATTAATTATGCTTTTTTTTTAATCAGAAATTGAGTATTACATTAAAAGAGCTGATTTTACACAAACATTGTGTTTTACCATTCTGCCATAAACTGATTTCAAACAGCCTGTTTTATTTTTGAGAGCCAGCCTTTCAAAACAGGGCACACTCCAGTGATGCAGCCAATGAGTGTGGTCTGAAGAAATGATTTTCTGTGGAGGAGAAATAAGTGCTCTCTTATCAATAACTGTTTGCTAGTCAAATCTGGCTCATTTTTCTGCAGAGTCTGTAAAGCTCTTGTAGCTGTTTTTAGCTGATGGTTGCAGTTTGTTAGACGGGTGCTGGTCAGCACTCCATCTTACTGTTGTCACTGAGGGGAGGGGTTTTCAGACAGTGGTTTTAGATTGTGTTAGAGGACTTTCCACTGCTGTTTCTTTCAGCTCGTGTTTCACTCTATTCAGCATATAAAGAGATATAGAAAATAATTCTGCAGTTATGAAGCGAGGGAGAGGGAAAGTCCCCTTCATCTTTTTGCCATTTAGTCTCTTTCCTGAGCTGCAGCAGCTTAATGAGAAGTTGAGGAGCTCTGCAGAAGGCAGGTAGCCCTGAGGAGCACTCTGCCATGCCAGCAGCAGCAGAGACACTGCTCATATATGACAGCTTCTGGGCCGACAAAAAAGGGCAACAGCCAATTGGCAATAGCAAATACATTGATTTGTCCCTTCAGCTTCTTACGTATATGAGTCTCAGCTTCTCCCAGAGCTGTAAAGGCCGTGAACTGAGTAGTTTGCCCTTTTTTATACAAACTGTTCACGGTTTGGTTAGTTCTTTGGCCGGCTGTTAACTCTTTGAAAAAGTGCAATGGTAGAGCAGTAGAGGAATGAAACTCCGTTGCATCCACATTGTGAGAGCTGCTGCTTTTCTGTATGAGAAGCCAGAAGCAGTCGTATGGCTGAGGACTGCAGCCTGTGATACCGAGTTCTGTCTCCTTGTGTAACTTCCACAGTTGCAGTTTGATCCGGTGCCATTTCTGTCAGTCATATAACTGACATTGTAAGTAATTAATGAGCTGGAAATCTAGCCTTCTCATGGCTTTTGCTTGCCTTCTTTCTGCATATAGGCCCTTCATTCCCCCCAGACACGATCCTGGTTGGAAGGACTGGGGCCCCAGGGGAGCCTGGACAAAGAGGGCTGCCGGGAGCTTTGGGTCCAAAGGGTTACAAAGGTAAATGACTCTTGTTTTGGGAGAGCCTTTTAGCAGTCAGTGGGCCTCAGAAAGATAGTTACATGTGGTTAATATCCTAAGGGATGAGGTGGAAGTGTCTTTATGACAAATCACAGGAGGTTAAGATGGATTAAAGGAGGCAACAGCCATTGCAATTTAGAGAGAGTTGTGCCCAGCACTGCCAGAAGTATTTCCTACTTCCTACTCTGCTCAGGCAAATAAGCAGGTAAACATGTCATACCCAGAAAATGAGCTAAGTAAGTTATACTTTAAAGCCATAAGACATAATGAGACTTAGAAATAAAACCTTGTTCACTGCTTTTTGCAGTATAGGCTGGAAATGAGAGAAACTTAATTTTATCCTCCTCTGTGCTAAAAATGATGAGAAATTGGGTCTCGGTGTGTGACAGAACCAGTGGCAAAAGCCGTGGTGACACAGCCATCGCTGTGCTTTGTGATTGTTTGGATCCACAGCCAGTTACAATTCAGGGAATTATAGAGATATCCAGCTGAGGGTCATTGTTACCTGCTGTGAGTGGGAGTATGGATTTGTTTTCTCTGACATATAATTATCTCTTTCAAGAACTGCAAGACTTCTGTCCTAAGACTCTCATAAAACCATCTGTTTAGGAGAGTCTAAACCTTTGGGAAGAGCTCAAGAAGTGCTGAGGTTCATGCTGCACATGGTAATGTGGTGATGAGCATTGCATAGAAACTAACCTGGACAAAACCTGAGCTCCACTTGCTTGACACTCACATCACCTGAGCAGAGTAGGCAGAAAATCAAATCATATGAGAATGGCTTTGTCCTAATTCAATCAAATACTGCTTTTGGAGCTCTTGGAACTGAAAAGGGTCTTTGTCCATATGAAACTGAGTTTGGAGTGTTGACTGTATTTTCCAGGAGAGGCAGGTGATTGTGCTTGTGACGGAGGAGTTACAAGAGCTGGTCTAAAAGGCATCTCAGGTCCACCAGGTCCATCGGGAAGCCCTGGTGTGCCTGGGATTAAGGGCATTGGTGGAGACCCAGGCACTGTGGGTGCACCAGGACTGCGAGGCCCTCCGGTAAGGCAGGAAGAGTTTATATCAGTTGTCGTGAATTAAAGGAGAAAAAGTGCCCATGTGCAATTGCTGGTGTTGATTGTAGTGAAAGCAGAACACATTTTTTTGCCTAATTTCTTCTACTTGTTTGGATTGGGGAAAAAAAAGACAACCCAGAAACTGATCTGTGAAAAGAAGCTGAAAGTAGAGAAATTATCACCTGTTAAAAATGGGAGAAGAAAGGGTTCTGAGAACTGCATGTTTAACAGTCAAGAGAAAACAGTAACCGTTATTCATCCCAGGGCTTCTTGACTGTAGGCATACGTGGATTAGTCCCAGGGTTCTTCCTAAGTGAGGGCTGGCTGGGGAAGCAGCTGTACATCTGCATGGAGAGAAGACCTGAAAAATCGAATGTGAGATCTTTCCATGTCGTTGCCCATAGCTACAAAACCTATGGGCCATCTCCTCAGCTGCTGTATGCTAAATATATTAGTGAGGGCTGAGCTGTATTTTTTTATGAAACAGCAACCATAACAAACGGGATTTTCCAAAGTGCTGAGCATTGCTCCATGGCAGTATTTACTTTTAAAAATTGTAGTCCATAAAGATACCAGTCTTTTGCCTTCGGAGTATCCTCATCAGTGTCAGTAAATGCAGCACACCAAGTTATAGGGAAGAAGATTCAATACTTGGGCCCTGTTATGTCGTGAGTGATGTAAGGTTCCCAGATGCCATCCAAGACTGCTGTCGCTGTAGTGCCATATACCAGGGTTTGGCTTGCCACTGTAAAGCTCTAGTGACTTGACTGAAGCATTTGGAAATAATCAAACCTCCTCTTTTCTTTTTTGTGTAATATATACAATAGGAAACCCTTTGGAGATTCTTTCTAGTTCCAGTCATTGTGTCCTGTGCTCATGTGACGTTTTTAAGAAGCAAAGCCTTTTCTCTACATGTTCATATTCCTGGGGTTTTTTATCTTTTGGTCTGTAGGCTTCAGCTGGTCAGCAAGGTCTTCCAGGCCTTAAGGGAGAAAAAGGGGATTCATCCTATGCCACAGGCAGAGGCGCTCGTGGGGACCGTGGTGCGACAGCACCCAGAGGACCTTCCGGCATCCCGGGAACCCCTGGCAGGGATGGACTTCCAGGTTTGCCAGGCCCACCAGGTGCTCCAGTAAGTTCAGATTAATTTAGCAGCAGTGCTTCAGAATTGGAATAAGTAGCAGAGAAAATAGAAAGGCCTGGCATACTAGTTCTGGTTAGCCCTGTGGTAAGTCTGCAAATACATAAAAAGCTCACAGTCCCTGAGCACAAAATTGTCTTGATCAGGATTAATAATTGGCACTCTTTATGCCTCTGGCTACCCAGTCAAAAGATAAACTTCCAGTAGTGGGGTAGAACCTAATGCTGTTTTATGTTGTGTCCTAAAAGATAAAAGACACTGTAGACATAATTATGAGTCAAATCTTGGAACAGAAAAATCACACAAGAATCTTTTAAATTAAAAGGGAAGGGAATGTCTTTCAGAATATGTAATATTTACATTTTGGTAAATACAACATAAAGTATTCAAACTCTTGTGCATTTGTTAAAATGGTGGTGGTGGTTATTCTTTCTGCATCTCTGATTTTCAGCTGTAATTGTCTTTGCTGTGCACAGGGTGATGGTGGGCTAGGTTTCCCGGGTGAAAAAGGACTGCCAGGATTACCTGGCTCCAAGGGCCATCGTGGAGAAACTGGTTCTCCTGGTGTTGGATATCCAGGTCCTAGTGGAGTTCGTGGGCCGCCAGGTGACCCAGGAATGGATGGGTTTCCAGGACAAGCAGGTCTTCCAGGCCCTCCAGGTAGGTGTTGCTGGGTCTGCTCTTATTTCGAAAAGGTGCAAAGCTGCTGCCAGTCAAATGGCACTCAGCTTACTGCCGTGCTTGTAGCCAGGCCAGAAGATTGCATTAGGTTAAAGATTGCTTTAAATCAATTGAACGTGGTTTGTGGGCTCACTAGAACTCACACAGCAGTCACAGCTTTCTCAAGTTGTCATGCTCAGGACACACATAATAAGCAACAAATACTCAAATAGTATTTGCTTACTGAGAGTGTTGAGTGGAGCTACTGACTGGCTTGCTGGAAAACCATTTTACACCAGGGGTAGTTACAAAGATTGATAAAATGAGGTTTTGAAAAAGCACAGCCTACTTCATTGTCCGGGTAAAAATAGTAACTCACTGGTACCTGAGACTTCTGAATCACTTTTCAGAACTATTGCTGTTACTGAAATAGGAAGAGCTCCAGCTTTTTTTAAAAGAAGAAACTGTAGTACATTGTAGATATGAACAGGCATTGGTGAATAAGACATTGTCATGACAGTCAGGTAGGGAGTTCAGTTATAACTGGTGCGGCCAGCTCTGGGCTCTTTGCTTCCTGAGGTATTAGAGTTTGGCTCAGTTGGTATGTCATTATAGGTATGGAAAACATGCCATAATGACAAGTGATAAAGTCAGTAAGTATAGGTTTGATAATGTTTCATATATGATGCGTTATGTTCATTCTCAAAGTGGTTACATGGAAAGTCATATGTCAAAATGTTTATGGAACTTGTTTTCATAACAAAATGACTGCAGAGAGCTAGTCTTGACATCCCAAGATGTCATCCCAATGTCCTGATTCCATGTCAGCCGTTTAAATATAATTTAAGATAAACAGTATTTTTTCTTTGCTGCTGCTGATTTTCAATGTATTTTCCATTCTTGTATACTTAGGCTTCTGGGTTTGTGATTATGTCAGTATCAATAACGCAGAATCAGTAGCGTATTTGGAGACATAATATTGTTGCATAGGTTTCTGGACAGATAAACTGATGTTCTGAGTTCAAAAATCTTGGTGGCAAGACCACTGCAGTATGAGGAGTTGGCAGAGGAATCTTAAACCCAGAGGGAGATGAGAGCTGGGCCAGAATAGCACTGGGAAGGTTGCACCAACATGCTGGATGGCATGTTACCTCACATCAATGTCTTGCTAGGTTGTTACGGGGTGAGGAGACAGCTAGCGTTAATGTCCCTGTGGAACAGTCTGCATAAGCTTTTTTTCCAATTCAAGTCACATGCTAAATGCTAAAAGCTTTACTAATTCATAGCTATGAGTGCTTATATCTTTGTTAAATTGTCTCTTACAGAATCCACCAAATTAAAATTGCGTTGTAAGATTAGTAAAAGTAAAACGCTCTGTGCATGATGTGAACTCTAGATATTCTGCGGAGCGCATCAGAAGCCAGCTTACTGTGAATGCTACATCAAAGCTTTGCTAACAATGAATAGTCCTTTGTAGAAGAGTATCTGTAGTCAAAATATGTGTGAAAGTGTGAATAAGTCATTAACCAGTTCAGTTTGCACCTCCATAGAGATGTGTAAGAAAACCTGTGAATGCATCATTCCCTCCATACTAGGAAATAATTTGCATACATTAAAAGACCCTTTGATGTAGTAAGTTTCATCTAATATTAAAGAAATGTGGGTGAGTAGAAGAAAATATCGTTTCTTGTGGTGCCCAGACTGAAAGGCCTTATCGTGAAAATGAGGAAAGGCATTTAAAAAGAGACTGCGACCTACTGATGTTACCATGTCAAAGACACCACTGAGGAGTTTTGCTTGAGTTCATGCCACATGCAGTAAAACAGGGTGAAACAGTCTTGCTTTGGAAAAGTCTAATTCAGCATTTTATAAAAAGCTAGACTGATTTTACTTGGTATTATGAGATTACTCAAAAATGTTGGAATTGCCCGTATTTCGCTTTTATACCTGACGTATGATGTTTTCATGATGGTTTCATAATAATTTCCTTGATTCTGCAATATTGTTGTGTAAACTGTGATGAGGTAGGGTATTGAGTAGCTGAGCAACGCTAGATTTTCCTTATATAATTTTTATGCAAATATCATTTTGCAAAACACACAAGGAAACAGTCCTATTTGCATTTCAGTTATCCTCACATGAAATCTCCATTGTTCAAGTATTCCACTGCTGGCTAATAATGTAAAATACAGAATGTGCTGTTGTACAGAGTTGTTTCTGGTAAATTCACATAAGACAGTTATTAAAGCCACGTGATATGAATGCAACAGTATTAATTAAACTTACCTTTCCATGCCAATTGCTGCCCCAAATGCTTGCTTTTTGAAAAAATGTCATTCTTTATTGTGCTGTGTCTGAGGAGGAAATGTCTCAGAGATGATGGACCTCAACTTTTATTTGATAAAGCATTCAGCATCAAGCTCACATAGGATTGCAGAAGACCAGAACTGGAAATTTTAATTTGTGTTCCTACCACTTAACTTTTACTTTATCAGAAGAATGCCCTGCCAACGTGTACCCAAGTACAGGCAGCAATGTTTGTGTTACATCTGGCAATCAGGGTATTTGGTGCCCATATCCATTCAAGGCATAAATCGGATCATAGGTGTTTTAGTCTTGAACCTCTCTGTACTTGTGAAGTACATCAACGTAGAAAATGTTCTGATATTTCCTTCAGAATTTGCGTACAATCTCCATATGTGAGTAGAATAGACACGCTGGGGGTTGTGTTCCCTCTCGTTCCCTGCTACATCCCGCTTTCCACCTGAGCCTTGCTTGTTTCTTTTTACTAGAGCTGATACCTGTTAGCAGCCCCCAACTAGCTAGAACTTGAGATCAGGATTGTTCTTTCTTCTCACAAGTCTGAATAATGCCATCAGTCACCCAAGCCAGAATAATGAAAGCATGAAAATCGGGGTTGAGGGTGGAATGAAAGAGGATAGAAATGGGAGGTCAAACCACAGTCGCTCTCTGTCATTTGGCACCGTGAAAGAGGGATGTTCAAATCTGCCTAGCCTGACTAGGGGCTGGATCCTAAACTGAAAGCTTAACTTCTCATCTCTGGTTGGATGTGGGCATCGAAGTCATAAGATTTTCACCCAGCCTTTTGTGAACTGAGTTGGAATCTGTTGAGAAGAACCCAAGAAGAATGTCATTGAACCAGTTCTTAGCACTCTTTCAACCAAAAAATTCATAGGGATCTTTACAGCCTTTGCAGCAGAAAAGACATATTCGGTTACTTTATGAGTTTTTAACCTGCCCTATGTCATTTTGAGACCCTTGTTCCCACTGTCAATGTTGGAAGCAAAGAGCCGTATTTTTTATCCATACGGAAGTCCACTGATTTGATTGAATTTATCCAGGTAATAGTTTGACTCAGGATCTTTTGTTAATAAAATTTGTGAGTCATCTGAAAATGTTAATCTTTTCTGAAAATAAGTGTTTAACTTGTGTTGCTGTGCTGGAAGAAATACTTCCAGTGTTGCCTGATTTAGACAAGATTACCTCCTCAGGACTGAAAGCAATCACAATTTGGAGTGCACTTGAATGGCTGATGAATAAATTTGGCTTGTCAGTCTGGGAATGGAGCTTGAATAGAAGGATCCTGCAAAGGGAGTTGTAAGGAAATGAGAAACAATGTGTTTGTGATACCTGGTTATCTCACCCTTAATTGGCCTTGTAGTTGATGCCAGATTCAAATTAGCAAATATTGGGCAAGAGTGCGGTTAGGCAGCTGTTTCTCTGTGCATATAAAAGTGTTCAGAGTAATGAAAATCCACCTCTCTTCCCCAAATCTGCTTTAGTAGTCATCTTTTGTATGTAATTGCTCTGACTAAATAGTCCTTTAGATTTTCATTTTTTTAAAGTGTATCTATGATAGTCTAAGGCTAAACCAGCCGTTACAGAGAGCTAGCTCTCTAGTTCTAGCACAGACTCCTCTTAAAATAACTGGAAGCATTTCTGGAGTTGGAAAGTCTTGAATTGGTTTTCATAATTTCTGTGACTGTGTGAACGTGGCTTCCAATGGTCAGTGACATACAGGGAGGAATGCTGGAAGGGTCTTTCAGGTAAATCTGATGTGTTAGCAACTCTCATAATGCCACATAAATTTCATTCCACTGAAGAGGGATTGCCAGCATAAACAGCCTTTTTTTGAAAGGTGGAAGTCATTCAAAAAGCTTTGCAATTGCTGAGTCTTGTTTGCTGCTGATAAACTTTTAAGCCATGTGGTTATTTGTTAGTCTGACAGACTGTAGAAGCAGCAGTTGAAGAACTGCATGCATCTTTCTGGCCTAAACTCTTGGGTGATGGGTTTTTTTAAACACCTGTCAATGTTCCCTAGATATGTATTTTATCTTGCATGTGCACGTTTATTTTAGAATTTTACACTGTAGTGTACTGCTTATATACAGCTTAAAAACATCCTCCGTTTTTAAAAGTTTGGAAGACCTGTCAGCTCCCACTGGCTTTGAAAGCTCTCGGCCTGGACCTTAGGCTCTCTGGGTCACAGACTGCCTTTTCTGTGCCCATTGCATAGCCCCTACCACGGGGAGGACCAGTTGCTGAGTGGAAGCTGTGGATATCATGCTACAGGTAGTCCATAGCGTGGACTATTGGTCATGCAGTAAGTCAGTAGTAGGGGTGAGGTTAGACAACTGCCAGGCTCTGACTGGCTTTTCTTTAGCATCGCATATTTGAGATGTCAGCAGTGTTTGATGTGCATAAGTTCACTCACAGCCGCTTGTGATATGTCCTGTAAAAAACATCTGGATACTAAATGTTCCTCTTCTGACCGTCTCTCTGAAAGGGGCTGTGTGCAACCTCAGTGTTTCTTTGTTTTAGGTATCACCTTGCCCTGCATAGTTCCTGGAGCATATGGACCCCCAGGGACTCCCGGCTTTCCAGGGTTGCCAGGTAGGGAGACAGACTGATTGTAATGCACTGGCTGACTACCAAGCAGCACTTAGTCCTCAAGGAAGATAATAGCTGCTAATTAATCTCCTCCAAGTGATAGTTATTCCAGAGAGTGAACTGGCAGAACAATGTTCTCTTTTTTTTTTTTTTTTTTTTTCCAAAGGGGCTAGGCTTAAATCCCGTGGAGGATCATAATGACTGCACCATTTTTTCCTTTTCAAGTAGTCTCTGAACACAAACCCTCTCCTTCTGTGTTTGTGTGGCTGATGAAACAGCCATAGCTTTGCGATTTTATTTAGCTTAAATTGTGTATCCAGCAAGTGTTTTCACACTAGCTTTGCAGAAAAGATCTGATCCAGTTTTCTCATGCTGTGTTTTTGTCTTCCACTATTCATTCATTCATATTATTTATTAATATATTTTTACCCTTAGGTCCCAAGGGCAGCAAAGGCTTTCCTGGCATTCCAGGCCAACCTGGATTACATGGGTCAAAAGGACAGCCAGGGTCTCCAGGAATAATAGGCTTGCAAGGGGAACCTGGTAAGAGGGAACTTACTGCAGTATTGTCTCATTAATGTGTACAATATTTTATGGAAAGAATTGTCCGACCTTCTAGGCCACCTTTCTGCCTGGTACATTTATAACGCTTCATTGAGAGCTCCATTGTGCTCCTTCCAAATGCAATCTCTGCAAGCAAATGGTTGCAGCTTGGAAGAAAGCGGGAGAAATGTTCAAGGTAGTTGTTACCTGCCTATAATATTATATCGCTGCTGGAAGAAAAGAGGACAACCAACACAATTTGTTTCTCCAGAGACTGTTGTCACGTGCTTTGTTACAGTTCAGATGAACTACAGGTTTAGTGTAAAGCTTGTTTTAAGCCACGTGGTACTCTGGTAAAGGCATGCTGTACGCAGTGTTTGGACTCATGCTAGCTGAGGGAATTTCTGATGGTTGTGTAAATATAGAGCAAGAAGCAGAGGTGATGAGAGAAGATTCCTAAAGCTGGGTTGCTGTGTATTCGTCAGGTTTCTCTGGATATGGCTGAAGAAATGTCTTATCCTTTCACTATATTAAGGGGGAATGTCATCTTTATGGGGTCACTGATTTCCTGACATACAACCCCTGAGCAGTGTGACATATCCACACAGCAGTGCAGTTTAGTGTCTGCTTGGTACAGGGACAGTACTTTCCAGTCTTGCTTGTACCAAGGCTGCCAGCGTCTGCTGCCCCACAGTGCCAGAAGTTGTCTGACATAGAGGACAGCGTAGGAAAGATGTGATCAGTATAACATCTTTCAGCTTTTGTGGTTGATTGTGGTAGTGAGCTACTGCCTGTCTGCAGGCTGAAATGGCCATCTTCCTCCTGTTGTCCTTTTTGCCTAATCTGCCATCTAGTGAAACCAAGCTTGTAAAGCTGCAACTATCTGCAGCTCCCAGATACTCCTAAAATATTCTTTTCTTAAATAAATAAATAGTATGAAAGGATATTTTAACTGTTTTAGTGTTTCATCACTTTCTTCGCCAATTATTGTTTCTAATTCAGTACTGAAACTTTCTGCATCTTTCCAAATGTTTTCTTGCATGGAAATTTTTTAAATGTTGATTTTGTTAGATAGCAAATATTCTGTACTTATGCTGAGTGACATTCACTGTTTTCCTCTTTAAGGCTTCCCTGGACCTCGAGGAGAGCAAGGGTCACAAGGACTTCCAGGACTGGATGGAACAGATGGTTTGCCTGGGAAAATGGGTGCTTCAGGCTTAGCTGGAACAAAAGGAGCTCCTGGAGATGTATTCGGTGCTGAGAGTGGAGCCCTGGGAGAGCGTGGCCGACCTGGACTCCCAGGTGATAAAGGGCTTACAGGTGATCTTGGATTTCCAGGACCAAAAGGTAAGCACTGATGCTGCTTGTGTCTGGGAGTGTCAAACTGTTTCTCTTTCAAAAATCTTTCCTCTTTCCAGTCTCTTTAAGATACTCCGTTAGCAGTCCTCTAAGCTGCTCACAGGTGGCTATTTGCTGGTTTTCTCTTAGAATCTAAAGCAACTCAAAGGCTTTTATTAAAACTCATTTTTTAATTAAAAGTGTGAATTTTGGTTTATTTGTTCTGTAACCTCACATCTCTCTGTTCCCAGGGTTAGATGGAAGACCAGGCCTCCTAGGTATTAAAGGCGAACAGGGTAATCCAGGATATTCAGGTGTCCCTGGATTGCGGGGACCTCCTGGTCCTGGAGGTCCTTTTGGCATTAAGGGAAAACCAGGACCCTTGGGGTCAGCTGGCCTTGCAGGAGCACCAGGTACGTAGTGTCTTCATATGAAGACAAGTAACTAAGCTGAACACTGCAATGTTGGGGAAGCATGGGACAGACTTGGCATTTGTCAGGACTGCACTCCTAACTCTGGTAGGGGTAATGGAGTGCAGAATTTGAGCCTTTTGCCTCTGACTGCTGGATGATTCCTGCCTAGACATGTTGCCCCAAGGCTCTAAGAAGTACAGCGGAAAGATAGGAGGAAGCGTGTTAAATGTCTTGACATTTTTAACATCTCTGCTTTTACATGCTGGCTGTATCATTGACTAATCTTCATATCCCATTTTCATGACAATTAATTTCTGATGTGTGAGGTAGTTTGAAATGTGACTTTGATAGATTGAAAAATTGTTGGCTTTCTCAGAAACAAGCACTTGTCTTCCCTGTCTTTCTCTTCACTGGGGCAGAAGAGAAATTTATTTCCCTTCACTTTATGGCAGTATCTCTCCAGCTGCACTGACTAAAGCGTTTCATGATAACAGTATATGAAAGACTTGAGAACCAAGCAAAGAGGGACCTGGGAATTAGTAGATAATGGTCTGTGATATAACTTATCTGTTCTGACATGCAGAATGACAGTGCTGAAGCACAGTGACAACAAATGAATGAAAGCAGTAACATCATTCGAGTTGAAAATCATGGAGTTTTAAAATCTTTTTTTATTTTGATGTTAACATTGCTTTTGGGTCTCCGTTGTTTTAAATTTTTGGACTGTATGCCATGTATGACTTTCCTTCAACTGTTTTTGAAAACCTCCCCTTGCTGGGAAGATAAGCTCCAAATGATTAAGTTTTTTTGCAGCTGTAGCCTCTCTGAATCATGAATTTCTTTTGTACCCTTGTTCTTTCTGTTTACATATTTTGTCTGTTTTTTCCTTCACCATGTTTCTATTCCATTTATCACCAACTCTCCATTTCTGATGTCACACTGTTTGGTTATGGGTTCTTCACATAGGCTGTCAAGGTGAGAAAATGCAGTGTAGCATAAAAGCTCATGGACTAACAACCTAGCTTTTAATGCTACAAGAATTGCATTGACTATAGGTGATACCCCTTATTATTGCTAATCAAACCAGAAGGCAAAGAACCATTGTAGTGAGAATGCTCAGACAGTAACAAAGCCTGAAGCCTATAAGGAAATCCTTTATATGTACAGATTTTAAGTGTGTCTGTTTTCTTTGTTGTCTTCAATAAAGCAGCCATTTCGTCTTCTGCTTTAAAAAATACTGGGTTGTGGCTTAAAATCTTTAAGCCCTGAGTATAACAAAGCTCGTATATTGGGTGCCACTGCTGCAAATACCATTTTTCAGAAGCCACCTGGTTTTTCTGTCTCTTCCTTTCTTTGGATCTGAGCATTCTGTTTTCAATGGTTTGTGCCTTTATTTACAATCGTAAACCATTACAAAGCTTCAGCTAGAAACATTCTGAAACATTTAGAGGCAAAACAGTGCATATGATGTTAGTTTTGTGACAGCACAATCAGAATTTGCTCCCTAAGTGAGCAATTTTCTCTTGAGAAGTAACACTTGAACTACCAAGGTGGAAAAGAAACTTGTAAAAACCAGCCTTCCCAACTGATCTCTGGTTCACCCAGAGGAGGGGATAGGTAGCAGAAGCTGACATTAATGATGCTCCCCATTCTGGTTTGGCTGCCTTGATCATAAAGGTAAGACTGATGTGCTACAGTTTAGTGTTTGGTAAAGGAGGCAAAAACAGATACATCATAAGGGGTTTCACTCTTGCCAGTTGTGTAGTGATGTAGGCAGTAACCCTCTTCATAGGTATTTTATTATTAGATGACTAATGCTTTTGCAATTCTAAGCTTTATGCCTTCTAGTAGGCTGCATGTGCCATAAGGTCCATTTGTCATTAAAAACAATACTGTGTTTAAAGAGTTTGGGAAGCTGTCCACAAATTGTCCTAGTGCTTGTGTGACATAATCTATCGAGTTCTTTCTTGTATTGATTCAGGACTTCCTGGAGTCAAAGGCTTGACTGGGGACGTAGGTCCACAAGGCCCTGCTGGTATGAAAGGCTTCCCAGGTCTTGATGGTGTTCCAGGATCTCCTGGGGAAAGAGGATTCTTAGGGCCACCTGGGCCTTTTGGTCAAGATGGACATCCGGGTTTCTCTGGGCCAAAAGGTACGGGTTCTACAGTCTGCGATTACTGTCCCCACAAAAAGATAACCTTGTTAATACTGATTTTAAGCCCAACTTGTCAGAAGAAAATGAGTTCCCAGTTACTGTTGGAATGCATTTGTTTTGCGGCTGAGTTATGAAGTACAAATGATGGATTTAATTTATCAAATCACAGTCATAAGGAGATCCATCTTAAAGGGTCCTTATGGACAAAGGATTGTGTAAATCAAGATAGAAAGACAAGAAAATGGAAGAAATGACGAACAGTAAATGAAATTTATAGAAGGGAGAGAATGAAGCACAAACCAAATGGGAAGTAAAAATTTACAGTCTGTGTGGTCATTAAACACCAGTACAATAGTTGGTTACTTGGAGAATTCTGTGTTATTTTAGACAAAGAGCTGTGTATCTGCTATTGCTCTCTTGGAAACTGATTGAGTATTGCTCTCCAGTGGAAGCAGGACCGGGCTCTGAAATGTGAACCGAAAAGTACTGGTTGAAAGTACTCCCATGAGAGAAGTGGCCGTGCTGTGCTTGTGCCATAAGTTTTACTACCCAGATTTGGCCAGACCCATGCTGCCTCTACCTGCCAGCTAGGTGGGTAGCAGTCTACCAGAGGAGACTAATTTTCCCTTTCTATTTCTCAACTTTTCCATACAGGCGAGAAAGGGTCTTCCGGCCTGCTTGGTTTCCCTGGCATGCCAGGCCTTCCTGGTGTCCCTGGGGTGAATGGATTTAAAGGAACTCCTGGCACAGCTGGAGGAAAAGGGGGCCCTGGAGTTGTGGGACTCCAAGGCCAAAAAGGTGAGAAACAGCTGAAAGGCTTTTGCTGGCTGTGCAGCAGAGGGACGCTTCTGAGATGCCTGTGTATTTAATGTTTTCTTCTAAATATTAATCCTTGTGAAATACTTCAGCATCGTTGCCAAAAATGCTGAGCACTTACTGATGAACTTGTATCAGGAGACGTGGAAGTTCTGGTTTTGTCTGCCAGCTTCTAGTGTCATACCCTTGCTCTGTCAGATTATTTTGCATGAAGATTTCCTGACTTCTTATTTCTTCAGGTGACAGAGGTGATGTAGGTCCACCTGGTCTTCCTGTTCTTGGGCCTCCAGAACAGGCACTGCAATTCAAAGGAGACAAAGGAGATCCTGGATTAGCTGGACTTGGAGGATTCCCTGGACCTAGAGGTATTTCACAACATTGTAGTTAGTTGCCAGTATCAGTGGTACAGTAACTGTGCTTATTCTGTAGTGGAGTATGGTCTGTCCTTTCGACAGTGGCTGCAGTATTGCTGTTTTCTGTTCTGCCATTCACATTCTAGCAAGATTTGCACATGGCAGTTCTGAACGTTGAGAAAACAATTTTCCTTTGAAGCTCTGTTCTGCAGAGCTAATGCCGTCCCTTCCTCCTCTTTAAGGGGAGCTTTGGATAACAGGTCAATTGGCCCAAATGAGCTGAATGTCTATATTATGAAATGAAATTATGCTCTATTGTATAACCCAGGTGATAAAGGAATCCCAGGAAGCCGTGGACAGCCTGGTCTTTCTGGTGCGGTTGGGTCAGCAAGCAAAGAGAGAGGTCTTCATGGTGACCCAGGCTTCCCTGGTCTGCCTGGACAGCCTGGCCTTCCAGGACAGAAGGGTACACATGGTATCATAGGATT